ATAATTAAAGTAATATACCCTTTGGGGGGGGGGGTTAACATCACATAAATTCACCAATTTCTCCCGAAATACATAAAAGTAAGTCACCGTTAAACTAGGAGAAGAATAGAGTGAAGTTTAAAGTTACCTACACATCCATATGAATAAAACACGTCGTCAGATTTTAATTGAAAGGATTATTAGTGGCTCTTTCATGGGTGCCCTGAATGCAGCTGTGGGCGAAACTGATGCAAACTCAGCTGACAGTTCTCATGCTCGAGTCCACGAGAGAATCAAGAGATCCTTACACGACCTGCGTGACTTGTGTAAGAGCTACAGATTCAAGAACTTTCTACAAACATGTTTATGCTTATCTAACAGCAGCAAATGTAAATGACGGAACCACACTTTGTGCAAAAGTAGAAATTCGGCACGAAAAACAGCAATAATACAGAAACAAAGGTGCAGTGTAGTGTTCGGTCGTTCTTGAACGATTCGTTCATTTTGAACGAATCTTTAATGTGATTATATTCGGAGCTCCGTAGTTATTAAATAATCTCAGTTAAACTGTAGACCTAAGCTAACACACAGCTGTATATAGGCCTAAATACAGAACTACAGAGTACAGAAGATATTAGCCTACACCACTTAGGCCAATTAAAATATTATTTAAAAAAAAAAAACTGACCCGAAACAATAGGTAGTCCTTCAGAATGTAGGCTAGATATAGGCAGCAGTAATTTATAATCTAATATAATGCACGCAAATTTGTTCTTTACAGAACGGAGCGGGATCTGAGCGGGAATTGGTTTACGGTGAGCGTGAGCGGAATATTAACGGAGCGCTTGCTTGGGCGGTTAGAGCGACTGAGTGGAGCGCACGTCCATAGAGCGGAAAACGTAGCCGCTTCGCTCACATGCTCTGGTGTAGATCGTCCGTATTATGCATAACTTCCGTGAATTCAAAGCGTGTTTCTATTGGCTTCTGCAGCAGTCATTCACAATTCTTCTCAGCGACTACAGCCCGCCTTCCCGCGAGAAAACCCATCCATTGGCTCATCCGTCATCCAATTGCATTCGTTCTGGGTTTCGAGAGGCCAGCCGTCCTGCCAATCTTCTGTTCTGCATTCCCATTGGCTGATCAGAACAAAAAGAGGCAGGACCTGATAAGGAAATGAGTTTCCTTGTCTGTGTATGTCGAGCGACGGCCGACGGTGCAGTATGGCGAGCTAAACCGTTAAACAAAAACCAGTCTGTCAAATCCAGCAGTCTGCTTCATGGTTTGGGTGATTCATTAACTGATGGACCTGGCCGCTCTCGTGAAGGCTTGCTGCGTGAGGTAGACTCGTGATTTCCGGCTGAGTGTGGTGATGATGACCGCGGAGCTGGACAGTCGCTTCTGCGCCGATAACCTGCTAACCAGCGAGGACTGGGGTGAGTAACGTTACCCCCGATGGCTCCTAATGAGCGTGTGATGATGATGATGATGCCGACGCCGCTGGAGCGCCCCAGGGAGCGAGTCCGGAGTCACTCCGCATCAGTCCAGTACTGGATTACCTCGAGACCAGATCTGCGTCTCATCTCCGCAACTAGAGAGACATCCCCCCCGTTTAGAGCTCAAAAACATGACACGTTAAGAATAAACGATTTGTGGTATAAAAATGGTAACATTTTATAATAACGTTCATTAATAACAGCTTTGTACGGTACGATCAAATGTGATTGATTATGTGAAAATATATTAATCAGAGTTTCCTGATATTTTTTCTTACTGTATGAATACATTACATAATTCGCATTAGTAACTGTACTAGATTTTTACATCTGCTGAAGAACAGCGGGGCTTTGTGGGCGGTTGCCAGGGCGTTGCTATGTGGTTTGATTAGGGTTCTGTGTGGTTGCTAGGTGGTTGTTAGGGTGTTCTGAGTGGATGTTCGCTTACCCAAATTAAGAAGTCACCAGCGTCTCAGAAAAGTAATTGCACCCATTTTACAAATTTGTAATTGTATTTTTGTAATTAGTGTATTGTTAACAATGGACCCTTTTCACAAGACTGTGGTGACGCGTTTCAATGGTCACCAGCATCATAAATCCCACAAAGTTTTTTGTATTATTTTTTTTATGTACATTTTTAACACTATACTTTGTATTATATTATCTTTGTATCAAAATACAAAACAGCTAGTTAACACTAATGTGAGGGTGTGTGATGGTAAATTTGACCTCGTTCTCTCTGACTGCCGTTATCAGTCTCTCTCTCTCTATTTATTTCCTTTTTTTTTTTTTGAAAGTCATGAAAACACTATCATGGATCATAATGTTTCTTTTGCTATTTCAGCAAATGCGATGCAAAAAATACATTTGTGGTAGTCTCCCTTTCACCGCTATAGAAGTTTACCCAACTATGACGACTTCCGCTGCTGAAGAAACCCGGAAATGTGAAAAAGGTCCACAGTGTTAGTAAAGCAGCATATCAGATGTAAACCTGTATGTCTGGCATGTGTAATGTTATATAATTTATGTAGTAGCTGCTCTGAACGTGAGATCCTCTGTTACATCTCTATTCCCTCTCCTCTCCAAGGACATTACTGTTCGGGTGGTGTGGAAAGAGAGGGTGTCTGATTAGGGGTGGACCATGTGAAGGATGGGCTGGCTTATGGACAGCAGAGCTTGGCCTGTTACAGAAATCTCAGAATATTTCACATAACAGATGTTTACATGTAGTCTACAAAACAAATATCTGAGTTTCTAGAAATGACCCTGTTCAAAAGTTTATGTAGACTTGAATCTTAATACTGTGAGTCTGGATGATCAGCGACTGTTTTAATGTTTTGTGAGACTTTATCGTGAAGTTGATGATACACAGGGCAACTTTTTGAGCAATGTTGCTGACAACCAGGTGAGACACAAGGCCCACGACCGATCTAAAGTATCCAGATAGAAATTTGTTGCCCATTCTTAATGTGAAAGTGCCCAAGCAACAAGCAAAACGTTGCCCCGTGTATCACCACCTTGAGCCTCCTGTTGGTCCCGAGCAGTTCAACGGCCCGCTGTTCTTCAGGAAAATCCTCCAGCTCCTGCACACTCTTTGGTTTTCCAGCATCTTCTGCATATTTGAACCCTTTCCAGCAGTGAATGCATGATTTTGAGGTCCATCTTTTCAAACTGAGGATAATTGAGGGATTCATGCACTACTAAAGTGTGCAAACATTCATGCTCCGATAAGCAACATAATGCATTAAGAGTGTAAACTTTTGAAAAGTATGTGTACTTTTTTATTTTTTGTTTAAAGTCTGTGTAAAGCAATATTAAATATGTGTTCTGAGTTTGTCACACCACAGAAAATGTTATTAACCACCCAGCCAAATTTGAATGATAAAAAAAAAAAACCAAGTAAAAATAGCGCTGGGGCGTGTCCTCTTTCGGTGCAGAAACCACGCCCACTCGTGGGAAAGATACCGCTACGACCTGAATGGATGCTCCTGCTAGCAGCTTAATTTAAATAAGAAGACCGAGCTGTTTTGTAAATTATTGCAACCAGGTATTATGCATTTACGTGACGAAGGCATAGCTAGCTAGCCAAATGTAGGCTGTAGTAAGTAACTAACAGTAATGACAGTAACTGAGCGGGTGAACCACTGATGCTGATGCGCTCTAGTTGTTAGGTGTGTTCGGCTTGAAGCAGCGCTGCAGACCGATCGGCATGTGACATTAAAGGGTTAGTTCACCCAAAAATGAAACTTAGGCTGCGTTTTACTCACCCCCGAGGCATCCTAGGTGTATATGACTTTCTTCTTTCAGACGAATCCAGTCGGAGTTATATTAAAAATTGTCTTTGATCTTTCAAGCTGTTTCATGGCACTCAGCGGGTGTTGCATTGCTTCAGTCCAAAAGAACTTAAATAAAAATCGCCCATCCATAAAAAAAAGTGTCTCACACGCGGCTCCCGGGGG